CCCCCCCCAAGTGGTTTAAGAGGTTTTTTTTTGGTTTATGTTAGAAATTCCATGAATGCTTGAAATAAAAGTAGCCAGAGCACCACGCTTTTTTCATTTCCACCAAGACTGAGCTAGCGTTTAGATGTATTTCCCGGCTTAGTTAGTCTTTGGGCAAAAAAGTTACTGTGTTTGGACAGAGGTTGACAAGGTGGTATTTGACACAGCGCCCCCTATAAAACCCAAGAGAAACAGAACATTCGTGGCTATTGAGAGAGAAGGCAACGCAAGATACCTTTCCAAGGTGCTAACTCTTCAGCTACCCTTACGCTGATGTTAACACACCCAAGGGGAGGTTAAAGAAATCCAATTACAAGTTAACAGTTGTGATTTTAAAAGCTACTTATGAAACAAACGTGATTCTCTGTTGCTAACTCTCAATGCCCGTCTATCCCACGCATTCAGGTTCAGGGAACTCTCACAGCTGGTGTTGCTCGGGTTAGCACCATGACCCCGTGTGTCTTCAGAGGCTCATTTGGAAGCGTAAGTGTTACGACACGCTCAGACCTCCCCAGGCTACGCTCCCACCAGCCGTAGGGCACTACAGGACACTGGACAAGTCTTCGACACGGTTACGCTGCCAATTCCTCAAGTGTTTATCCACACGTATTTCATTTCTACAGTTTGCAAGCAGTGACCTGTAGGTAGGAAAGGATCTCACAGTATTCGGGCAGCCGGGCAAAACAGGCAAAATGAGAAAATTAAGATGACAGATCACGTGAAAAAGTATAGTTCTAGCTCCAGGGTGCCCCAGGTCTCCAGAACTGACACCTCAGAGTACTGGTCCTGGGCTGACCTTTAAAAATCTCATGATTAAAATTACTTATTTGAGTACTAGGATAAAATTATTACTACAGGTAAGATAACCAGCCAGTATCACCCCAGGTGTCTGTATTTCTACAAAAAACATCTCATGAAAGCCCTAGCCTTGTCCGAAAAATAGTCACACTGGCCCGCATGTAGCAGAAATCACCGTTGCTGTTTTTTCCTCGCTCGTCTCAACTGCCACCCTTTTACCCTGAAATTCCAAATGCTCTACAACAATACTGGTGAGTCCTCTCAACTCTTCCAACATGCCCTTGAGCTTCCTCCCAAAGAGCTGGCCGAGGGCAGCCCGCACCGGGACTCAGAGCAGAGGGGAGGTGGACTTGCTGGGTGGCCAGAGAGAGAAATGCCTGTGGACACTAGTGGGGCTCCCCACTCCTGCCTCCTTTCAGCGCGTCCACAGGAAAGTCATTTACCACTTCTTCTAAAACCATTCTCTACCTGGAAATCAGAGGTTTAAAAAAAGTTCGATATATCTAAGGATGTGATGCTGCATTAAAAGCAGCGCTGCAATCAAAACAGAGTTGAAAGATTATGTGGTTTGTGTAAATAGTTTACTGCCCAAAAAAAAAAAATATCTCCATTTTGGTTATTAAAAGCAAATTGCACTGAGAAACAATTCGAAACTCACATACCTTGATACACACTAAAAGAAAAGCCCAGGTCCTGCCTGTGAACCTATACACCGCTTCACCGAGCCCGGCAGCCGCCTGCTGCCTGGAGGCGGCCACGTGCAGGGAAACTGCCGTCTGCGGCCACGGGCTCTGCCGCCGGTTCCTGCCTGAGCCTCCGCGTAAGAGGACTCACACTCTGATGAGCTCGGCATGCTCAGCTGGCAGCTCTTCTACCTTCTCTAACATGATTTTTCTTCTAATAAATGCTGACTTATGTTAAGCCCATCTTGTCGCAGGGCTTATAGGAAGCCCAATCCAGCCACAAACACAGTACTGGCATTAACTGGAACTGGACTGCTCAAGAACTGACAACCTTTTAGGTCTTAAACTAAATAAAGCTTTATTACACCTACCTAACATTTCAGGGCAAAGAGGACCACACAGCACCCCGATGTAGCGATGTCAGTAAGGTGGATAGTTGAACGAGAGAAATTGAGTTTCCCATCTGCTCCCACCAGCATCTCTTGGGATTTAAGATCCTGAGAAGTTTGTGCTGTCCTGATGCTCGGCAGCAGCTCTTTTAGAGGGGGAAAGAACTTATTACCAGCTCAGGCTAAATCCCCAAAATGACTCTAAAATGAGCACTTGAGATCAAGACAGACTACATGGCACCGTGGCATTTCTGTTCTGCTTTTTTTTTTTGGCTGCTCAGTCCAAAATCTGGCCTGGGCAGCCACAGACTGTTTCATGCCACATCTGAGTTGCTGCCTCAGGCTCTGCCCCAAAAAGACCACTCAATTGCTAAAGAGGTTCACCACATCAGCTGGGGATGTTATTTACCCAGACTCCAGTAAAGCCTTCGATACTGTTCCCCACAGCATTCCCATGAAAAAACTGGTTCCCCAAGGCTTGGACAGGCGTACGCTCTGCTGGATCAGACACTGGCTGGGTGGACGGGCCCAGAGAGTGGTGGTGAATGGAGCTAAATCCACTGGGTGGCCTGCGACAAGTGGTGTCCCCCAGGGCTCAGTGTTGGGGCTGCTCCCATTTCATATCTTTATTAATGATCTCCATGATGGGATTGAGAGCACCCTTAGTAAGTTTGCAGATGACGACAAGTTGGGCAGGATTGTCATAGAATCATAGAATGGTTTAGGTTGGAAAGGACCTTGAAGATCATTGTGTTCCAAACCCCCTGTCCTGGGCAGGGACACCTCCCACCAGCCCAGGTTGCCCAAGGCCACCTCCAGCCTGGCCTTGAACACCTCCAGGGATGGGGCCTCAACAATCAACAATGCCGATCTGCTGGAGGGCTCTACAGAGGGACCTGGCCAGGCTGAATGGATGGGCTGAGGCCAACGGTGTGAGGTTCAACAGGGCCAAGGGCCGGGCCCTGCCCTTGGGTCACACCAACCCCATGGACGCTGCAGGCTTGGGGCAGAGCGGCTGGAGAGCTGCCCGGCGGAGAAGGCCCTGGGGGTGTTGGTCGACAGTGGCTGAACATGAGCCCACAGTGTGCCCAGGGGGCCAAGAAGGCCAACGGCATCCTGGGCTGTGTCAGGAACAGTGTGGCCAGCAGGACTGGGGCAGTGATGGTCCCCCTGTACTGGGCACTGGTGAGGTCCCACCTCGAGTGCTGTGTTCAGTTTTGGGCCCCTCAGGACAAGACAGACATTGAGGTGTTGGAGTGTGTCCAGAGAAGGGCAACGGAGCTGTGAGGGGTCTGGAGGACACGTCTGGTGAGGGGCGGCCGAGGGCCCTGGGGGTGCTCAGCCTGGAGAAGAGGAGCTGAGGGGAGACCTTCTCACTCTCTACAGCTCCCTGAAAGGAGGGGGCAGCGAGGGGGGGGCGGTCTCTGCTCCCCAGGAACAGGCGATGGGACGAGAGGGAACGGCCTCAGGTTGCACCAGGGGAGGGTTAGGGTGGAGATGAGGAGAAATGTCCTCACCCAAAGGGTTGTCCAGCACTGGCACAGGCTGCCCAGGGCAGAGGTTGAATCACCATCGCTGGAGGTATTTAAAAGCCGTCCAGTTATGGTGCTCAGAGACATGGGTTAGAAGTGGGCCCAGTAGTGTTAGATAACAGCTGGACTTTATGATCTTAAAGGTCTTTTCCAGCCATAAAGATTCTATGATTCTATGATCTAAGTGCCTGGATGTTTGCGGGACCTGTGCGTTGCCACCAGTGAGCCCACCAGTACACACAGCTGCACTCCTGTCCTTGGGAGCGCAGGAGGGGCTGAGGGGGGCAGTCGCTGTGTGCAGATACACCACAGATGGACTGACAGTATTTGACATGACACTGAAGCTGTCCTAAGGCTGACTGACTGTAGTGCTGCCCCAAAGCAAAGTGCATCCTCAGGGCAGGGACTATGCCCCACTTTTGTCACCTTCCTAAGAACTAAATGAGTGTACTCGTTTCCTTACTTTGAGATAAATTGACTTTTCCAAAAAGGAAACAACCTTTGTGTTATCCAGAACTTGAGTGGAAGATCTTGTTATCGACAGCAGAATTTCTGCACTTGGGCCCTTGAATATTTCTGTCAAAGCAGATGTATTAAACTGGCAAAATGGAGTGGAGAACCTAATTAAGTCAAATTTAGGATGGTTATTTCATTCCATGACAGATGAACCGGCAAATCCAATCATCTTCCCTCCCTGTTTTTCTGTACTTTTAGAAAACAGAAGTATAAATATTTTCTTCTTCATATGGATAGTTGTTCCTTATCTCAACAAATAAACCTGTCTGTCTCTGGGAAATACATATGACTCAAGAATTAAGCTATGGAAACCGCACTTCAAGAGTTGTCATCCGAGTTGTTCTGCTTCTCTAAAGCACATCAGTACTGCCGAATCCTTTGCCCAGCACGCCAAAGACTCACTCTGCTCCTTGGGGGGAAGAGGAAGATCACTAGAGCAGAACCACACACTCCTCCAGACACCACTAAGAAAACAGCATGAGACAAAGTTTTCGCAATAAAGATTTGTAAGCGAGGCTGCTTTTTTACTTCCTGGATAGATTTAAATTTAAGTTTAGGTTCTTTTCATTAAGCTGACTATTCACCTTTTTATTTCACCTTTAAAAAAAAAAAAGAAAAGAAAAAAAGTAATGAAGTCTGAACTACCTGATGAGGTCTAGTTCTCTAACTCTAGTTACCCAAGAGCTGCAACAAGAGGGGTGCAGCTCATCCCTGGAAACCGAGTATGACCCCCACCGTGCCAGTGACTTGAGAGCTTGTTTGCAAACCGGACCTAGAGTCCAATTCTACAGCTATTTAACATTTCAGTCCCCAAAATACCTATGAGATAGGGGTTAACAGTAAACTAAACTAAGCTGGAACCAAAGTATGAATGTGTTTATTGGAGTGGGTACTTAACTCACCTGATTTCTTTCAGTCCTTCTTTCTGGATGACTTGAAGGATCTCCTTATGGCTCATAGGTGTATTAGGATATTTCTCCAGGACCTGGCAAGCAAAAGCAGATGGAGAGGAAGTTACTCGTTTGCATTTTCACCTTAATGTTCAACTGCACAGAAAACTACATTTAATGGTTTGGACACCTCCAAAGATACAACCAAGGAAGAACTACCGGCCTTCTCACATCTCACGAGCACCCCTTCCACCTGAAGAAGGTAAGGAGCAAAGAGACTCCAGGAGACTGGCGAAAGGACAGACTTCAGCGCAATTCCCAAGTTTTATTTCAAAAGCACTGCCCCTACGTAACATTTCCTAAGGAGAATGAAATGCTCCACAGCAACAGGGTGGCTTCACAGCCATCAGCGTCACCAGCACAGTGCTTCAGGAACTGCCGAGGCACCTCAGATACGAGACTTCCAAAAACCAAATCCTTCATGTTTGCAAAGCTGAAACAACTACTGAGCAGTTTGGTTGTAAGTACTAAAGAAGGTTAAGGACATTTGGCGTTTAATACTGCTAGGGCTGTTTGAAAATCTCTGCACACAATTCAGGCTTAAAGTTCGTAACTATGGTCTCCGAAAATGGTTCCTACACTAAATTGTCAAATACATTCCGGCTCCTCCCGAAGCCCGCCCTGTGCACGCCCCAGTGCCAAACCAGCACTCACCTCCCTTTCCAGAGGGCTAAGATGCAAAGGCACAACCCACAACAGCAGACAGAGATGCTGCAGACTTCTGCAGGAAGATGCCAGTTTCTACACGTCATTTGGATATTTTAAGCAATATTGGTGCTGGGGGGCTGGGCAGGAAATGCCTCGTTTCCTTCTTAATCATCCGCTTTTGACCCATGCCCAGCACATCAACCCTCCAGTGCCGAGTGACATCTTCAGCCAGAACACAAACCCTCCATATGTGAAGTATAAAACCCCACAAGTTACTTTGCAGAAGGAAATAACCGGTCTGAATTTCTCTGTTCAGGAGCTGTGCAGAACACACGGCCTCTCCCGAAGCCCCGCTCCTTACTCCCTCCAGGAACATCCAAGCTATCCTGAAGGGCTGCAGATTTAGTTCTCTCGGAAAGGGCTCTGAAAAGACCTTGCTGAACTGCAGCATCTCTCTGCTTAGAGGAACAAAGACCTACCATTAGCACCATCTTTAGCTTTGCAGCCCCACTCGATGTCCTCCTCGTGTGAAAGTCTCGTTAAGCTGCATTAAAGCCTGACTTCCACAGCCACCTACGCTATCCCCAAAGCTGCAGGCGGCTGACTGCCAGGAGGCGCTCTCTGGAGCACAGCATCTGTCTTCGGGGATTTCGGGAGTAGCAGGTGTATTAAAAAAAAAAAGGGAGTTTTAAACAGATTTAAGTGGGATTTGTTTACACTTACTCTAGTATCAGCCTCGGTGACTCATTCCACCTCGTTTCTCACTGTATTGTAACTAAGGATGCCCACAGCAAAAGGATAGGAAATAAAGGTGGTTGAAGAGTGATGTAAATCAGGCCACCACAGGTTACGGATTTATATCAGCTCCCAATTCATGTTTGCTCAGCACTGCCAAGAGTCAGTATACTTAGATACCATTAACCTGGAACAAAACCCGAAAGCTTGTCCTGCAGAGTGTGCCAAAAACCCCCGGAGGGCAAGAAGAGTCAAAGCTATCTCAATTCCCACCTCTGGTGTCAACCTTGCCATTGAAGCTCGCAAAACAAATGAGGAGAAAAATAAAGTAGTGCTATGATTCCGTTAACGAGGAACTTTAGGGCATTTGCCATTTTTCACAATTCTGTACGTGCACTTTTCTTCTTGGGCACTGGGTCCTCCTCTTGACTTTCACTACATAGACTCACTCTTGTCAAGTCCCATCTCACTCACACCTATAGCGACAGCAACACATTTCATTAGTTTTTCACTAGGCAGAACTGCGATGCAAGTTAATACTGTGTTCGGCCACAGAACCTCATCATTAAGAGCAGAAAGGAAGAAAAGCTTTACTAATTATATCCTTGCATGCCCACGGGATGCTTTAAGTGTTTCTCCCAGGTAACCTGTTCCCACATCTTCCTTCCATAGGACTTTTTCTTGTAGTCGAGCTCAGCGAGATGATCAGTCTGGCCTCCTGCCACCCCTGCTTGGCTTCCTGCAAATCATGATGGACCACTCCCGAGCCTTGAGAAGGCTGCTCTTGAAGATCAACCAGCCCTCCTGGCCAGACATTTTTATCCTTCTACTCACTTCTTCATTTCCCACAAGATCTGAAATTCTCATTTCATGGTCACTGACACCAAAGGTGACACTTGTGCGCCGCTCTTCATATTTCCAATGAGCTCTCCTCACTCTGCTAGACCTCCTCTAGCCCAGTTTGTCCAGCACCTGGCTCAAAAAGTTGTCCTGAAGCAATTCCAGAGGCCTCCAAGATCGGTTGTACCCTATTATCACCTTGTGCTTCCAGCAGACGCCAGGACAGAGTCAGAACCAACCCTCCATTCATAAGGCTTTATCCAGTTGTCTAAAGAGGGTTCTTCTACTTCCTCTCCCTGATCAGCTGGCCGGCAGCTAACAACCACCACCATGTCCCCTTTGTCACCCTCCCCTCTGAACTTAACTGATAAGCTCCCAATTGAGTCATCACTTTTACACCACAGCTCTGCACATTCCTAAAGCTGCTCTTTAGCACAGAAGGCAAACCCTTCTTCATTTTCCATGTCTCTCCTTCCATGCAGAGCACTCCGATCATCCATCTCTCCACGAGTTTAATCTCACCAACATTGTGGCTCTGCATGTAACAAGAACTGATCAAGAGGGAACTAAATTATTTGTATCAAAACTGCACACAGACGTCAACCCCTTACATCCCATTCCGAATGCATCTACAAACACGCATTTCAGAGTGGCCCACGGGTGTGCTGGGGAGGTGCAAGAGTTTCTCTGCAGAAGTGAGTCTTCTTTGTCACAGACCCCCAGGTGCCTCCCTTCCTCCTACATTTGTCTCCCGGTTTCAGTCTCCATCCCACAACAAACTTAGTTCAAAGCCTCCACACCGTGTTAGCAACCATGTTGGCAAAGACGTCCTTGTCCCTCTTCAGCAGATGGATCCTATCTCCCACCAGCAGTCTTCATTCCTTCAAGAGTCCCATGGTCATAAAAACAAGCAACCTGCCTACAAACACGACTGCGCAGGCAGAAGCTGATGCTCAGAAAACATCTGCTTCCTGCCCAAGGCTCTTCCATTCCCCAGCAGGATGTAGGAGACCACCTGGGCCCCCAGACCTCTCATGCTTGCTCCCAAGGCCTGGCAATGACCTTCGATCTGCTCAAGGTCTCCTTTGGGAGATCTTTTTCCTTTTCTAATATAGGGACAATGCTGATTAATTGAGGGAGAGGGATAAAGGCAGGGGAGCATCAGCAGTAGGCCCCCCAATACGCTCAGGGGAGTAGATCACTTCCCCTGTAAGAAGAGTTATGGGATAGAGGACTTCAGCCTGGACACTGAAGAAATCTGAAAGAAAAAAAGAAAAGGCTGAGGGTCAGACATCATAATAGCCTTCCAGTACCTATGAGAAGGTTGTAAAAATGGGGCCAGACTCTTCACCGTGGTGCCTAGTTGGAAGAATCAGAGACACTGAGCAAAAGCTGAAACACAAGAGGTGCCAAGTGATTACAGGGAGCAACACCGGCACGATGAGGACAGCCAAGAAACTTGACAGGCTGCGCTATTTCCATCCTTGGATGTTTTCATCAAGACCTGACTGCATAAAGCCCCAAGCAATGTGGTCTGACCTCAAGCTGACCCTGCTTTGAGCAGATGATTAGACTACGGCCTCTCAAGGTCTCTTCCAACCAAACTATCCTTGATCCTACAGGTGCCCGTATGCACGTAGTAGTAGGGGTAGTAGTCTACAAACCAGAAGAACTCTACCAACTTCTCTGCAACATCCTGGATCCAACCACCTGGCAAGCAAACTTCCCAAGGCAGCAAGACTGCTTCAGGCACAACCAGCCCAAAAATAGCCAGTCTGTCAGAACCAAGTGCTCCTCTTGGGGTGCCAGAACCCTATATTTGTTCTCCATCCAAACAGCTGCAGGCAGAGGAAGACTTTTTGCTGCTGAAAATAACCAACACTTCCATCTTCAACAGTGCCCCTGACCCCCTAACGCAGCTGTTTCATTATCTCCTGAGCAGTGTGGGGCCTGGGCTGTTGCGCTGCCACATCTCTGCAGATCATCAGGTAGTCTCCCATCTGTCCTCCCTAGTGCTGCACAGTCTGCTCACCCCCTCTGCCCACTGGTGGTTCACCCAGAAACCCAAGGAGAGCCCATGCTCCGCTGGTGAAGCTGCCATCATCTTCGACCCTGGCCTCCAGGAGGAGCACCAGGCACTCCCTGCAGTCCTGGACCTCCTACGTGTCTGGGACAGGGCCTCTCATGTACGGGCGGTGGGGTGTTCAGCCAGTGCAGGGACTGACATCCTGTGGTGTCCCCACCGCTGTTGTGCCAACTGAAGAAGTAATCTGCTATGAGTGGCAGAGACTCTTTTTGCTAACTCAGCTTGATGGTGTTAGAGGTCCTGGAGTGAGGCGAACTCTCTTTTGTAAGAATACACCAAAGAACATGGATCAGGAAGATGACAGATTAGAAATAAAATTGATTAGAGGTGCCCCAGTAGTAACGAGACCAACATTGGGGGTTGGACTAGATGATCTCCAGAGGTCCCTTCCAACCCTAACCATTCTGTGATTCTGTGATTATTTTTTCTTCTTGCCTACAGTTATCCGTCTTCGAGACTACGCATGAGTAACACTAGGCTATAGCAAATACAGCACCGGAAGATGACCTATTCTGTGGGTGACACAGCTGCAAGCACCCTCCCCAATGGTATTTGGGCTGCTCGTTTTGCCTCCCCAGCTTGAACATGCTGTTTCTGAACAGAAAGCCCAAAAAAGCAAAGAACATATTAACAGAATCACCAAAAGGCAATCGTGTGTTGCTGGTCTTGCAAATGAAGCTCATAGCTCTGCATGGGTAACTACAGAGAGCATCATGCACCCAACAT